GGGTATAATCAACCGACTCAGGAGCGGAATTGACTACAAGTGTTTTTAAGTGCAGTGGGGCTGCCGTAGCTTCAGCGATAGAGAAAGATGTTCGACTCAAAGAGTCACTAATACTAAGCTCCTTATCTAAAGGACACTTGCAGCTCACCACCAGGGCTCAAAGTTAATAGTGTAACTTTATACTTCAAAACCAGAAGTGTTTTATTTACTAATTTCCGGCCAAGCCGCCTAGGGGTAAATGCATCTGTCTACCTATCTAGCATAGCTAAACCTAATCAAATGCATTACACGTGGGTTACAGCCAACGTACTGAGAGGCCATGTTAGCTCACCGACTTGTGTACTGATATTTTGTTAGCTCTCCTGGTACTCCGTACCCCTGTGTGCTCCACACCATGTGATCCCGTTACATTTCTTCATTTGAAAGTACTAATTTCCAGTAGTACTCTTTTTGTTACAAGATGATTTTTACAGACCTTTTATGCGCCTGAACGAAGACCTTACACCGTCAAAGAAGACCAGGCGAGCACTCTATTATGCAGGAGAAACACAGTGTGCGACGCAGGTCTATAGGCTGGATGCATGCCCTCACGCTGTTACATATTTAAAACCAAAAAGTAGTATGTATATGATAATTGGTGATATGAGAGGAATAACTATATCTACGCCTTGCTATTCGACACAATTGCAATTAAGGCAAGTGACCGATGGATGGTCCTCCGTCAATTGCACGCACTCCCTCAGTTGGCAACCTGCTCTCGAAGATCTATTTTAGAGCTTTGAATTTTAAACGCTGTAAAAACATAAACTACGCACCTCTTTTGATATTACACTAGCCGAGTGCCGCCGCTACGCGGCGGGTAAGAATGAATGTCGTTCCTTGTGTTTTGCCTCCGTTCCGCTCGCCACGGGCTCGCTTCATTACTCGCACGGTAGGTTGGCAGAGTGTGGCTCAGGCGGGTCCAAAGGCCCGCAGGGTTGCAGAAGGTGCCGATTTGGGCCGCCTCGCTGCGCCCGGCATCTTTTAGACCAATAGGGGCCACCTTCGCTGCGCTCGTCAGCCAGTAGAAATATTTAAATTATTTTATCCAATTATTTGTCTGGAAAAGCGTGACAGGCACGACAATTTAGTGTGACGGACAGACAGGCTGCTGCAATAGATGTTTAAGACTAGCGCTCTGGGCGTCCGCTCCGCGGACGCTAGGGCATAGTTGGTTGGTGTAGTGCGGGCTGACCACCTCCGCTGCGCTGCGGTGTGCTTAGCGTTTCTACGTACAGCAAATCAACATATAATACATGTATATTGTGTACTACTTATAATACGCTCCAAAACAACACCGCACACAGTATCCTTAGTGTCCACATATTTTGGTAGATATGACCAGGGTTTAACGTGATCTGCAAGATGAGCACCATCTTACCCGGGAAGGTTTTGTCTATAATCACATTTGAGCTCATAGCTCCCAAAATGACACAAATCGGAGGCGTGTGTGGCTGCAAAGCTAACAAATGCTGTTCAGAAGACATGGCAGTATCAGTGATGATCCAAAATTGGCATAGACCGGTGAGGAATCCCAGTTTAGCTGGAGTAAATATGTCTACTCAAACATAATATCATCTGTCACGTCATCGCCGTGAGGCAGTCGACACCATATCATTGATTGCGACAGTCTATTAGAGAAAGGTTTAGTCAGCTCCTCGCGCGAAGTATCTTTTAGGACAGATAGATTTTGCCGATAGTAGCGACAAACACCAATATTATGCGTTGCAATTGTTCTGCTGAGCTCTTTATGATATTACTGAAGGTGTTTCCACTATCTTTCCCATACATTGATTCTACTTGCATAGCTGGCGCACATACTGACTTATTTGCATAGATTCTGACTGATAGAGTGGCGTAGGCCCTTTCGAGTGACATTTACTGGCTCCGATATGTATGACGAACATACGAAGCCACATAACGGTAGGCAGATTATCAGATCGTGGATATCTTAGACTTGATTCGAGTCGTCGCTCATGTACATTATATGAAGTACTTTTGCTGCCTACTTACTAACTCGGCGTGCTATTTGATGTATCCGTGCATATATTGCGAGGTCGTTAATGAGTGTATACCACGCGATCGTGATATCTAAAACCTATATATAGGATCACTGTCGCTTTCTCGGTACATTTGCGTCGTCGTGCTGGCTTACTGTGCTTACGTTTCTGATGTATCCGTCTATATGACCAAGCAGGTCACTAACTGGGCACAGGTCATATTGCAGTGATACTGGCACGCTGACCGCGCATCTGTAACATGTATTCAACGCAGTATCTACGCGCGCGGCGGGTACACCTTATAGCCACCCGCGACTCAACCGAGCTCTTATCTTGACCATTATCGATAGGGCACTAAAGTACAGTATTGCGTACAGATACATCGACCTGCGACAGTCACTTGTATGGTCTGCATTATGGCACATGTGTTCGTGTCTACGTAGACAGTAACGTATCGTAGCGTGTAGTACTCACTTAATACTGTAGTTTCAATTTGTGAGCGCCCATTAGTGGAATACGCGCTGTGAAAGGTTGATGGTACATACAGCATGATTTAGCTTATGTCCCAATGAGTGAGTGTACTTGTCGTCTACGTGACGTGTATACGGATAGGAACGGCCAGCTTGCGGCTGCTCCGCAGTATATACCATGTGCTAACTATCATATGAAACGCGCTACGTTCTTTAGGTGCGTCAACACGCTTGGTAGCGCCACAGTCAGTTTACCGTATGCGCTGTCCCAAGCCTTGCGCTGCCCACCGGTATACAAATTACAAAGATAAGCGGGGTTAAGGGCCAAAAGGGTATATTTACCAATTACTTTCTCTTCTGCTGCTTCTTTTGCTCGATGTACTTGGCGTTTCGGGCGGTCAGCTTGCAAGGGCGGCTGTGCTTCTTCTTCTTCTTCTTGGGGTACCAGTCAGGACCCATTGCCTTCTTGACGTTCGCCAGGCTTTCCTGGCGGCGCACTTCGGTCGAATCAGGTGGTGGGGGCTTTTCCCCCCAGAGCTCAACCGCTTTTGGGCCGTTCTCGCAGACAAGACAGCGCCGCACTATGTCCCGCCCGCCGATTGTACGGAGCGCGTAACCGTACTGCAGCTTCCCGCAACCGACGCAGCGCGCCCGGGCATCCTTCGTAGACCGCTGCGAGTTCAGCAGGAGCAGGTCAATCTTCGCCTCGCATTGCTTGCACGCAGGGCCCACCATTTTGCAAACTGTGAGTAAGTTAACAAATTATATTGTTCTAACCAATTACTTGCGTCCAAATATTAGCCAATAGCACGGTCCTGCAAGGCTGGTATTTATTATTAGACAAAATATTAAATGTTTTAAAATATTTCTATTTTTCTTTGCTTTAATAATACTTTTATCAGATTTACAAAAAATACATACTTTACATGCAATAAAAGTGACTAAAATCCCTATGTACCGTGCGCGCATAGATTTATCAGGTGCGGTGCACGGGAGCAGATAGCGCAATAATCGTGCAGCCGCGCGCATTCATTGCACGGTGAAAGTGGTGAGTGTCAGGTGACGTAAAAAGATATATATTCGCAAAGTCCCTACAAAAAGCGCTGGTCGTGAAGCCTACTTTAGTATTAAAAAATACTATCGTCTCTACTTTTGAAAGTCTGTGGAAAATAGCATCGCCGAGCTCTTACCAATGCGGCCTGTGAAGCTTATATTAATAATATCAATACTACTAATATCGTCTTTACTTTGAAAGGTGCGTGGAAAATAATATCCCAGAGCTCTTACAAAATTCTGGTCTGTGAAATCTACACTAATAATAATAAATATCTCTATTTGAGAAGTGTGCAGAGCTCTAAGAAAATAAAGGGGTTACTGTACCCGATTTCAGTACATACGACAGGTTTTGCGTAGCTAAATGTCAATAATCAAGTATCTGCGCAGCTCGCCTAGCTGTTGCAACCAATCGATGCGTTTCGTGCTCGGCAGAAATGTTTACCTTACGTCCAATCCCGAGGGCGAGAGACGGTCTGATCGTGCGACAGATCCAGTCTGTGTCGCAGGTCGGCAAATATTGACCAATGCGCGCGCGAGTTAATTGTGTGACGCTTTTGGATATATTTGTAATTTTGGCCTAGTTAGGTCGAGTCAGAAAGGTAGGCGCGGTCGGTAAGATGGAAGGAAACTGTATTAAAAGGCCCAAGTGTAGCCATGCGAAAAGGTAGGGAAAGGCAGCAAGAAAGGAAACGGACGGACTGATTGATAGACGGACGGACAGACCCGCTGCAAGGTTAAGATGCGGGAAATTGTACGTACTGTACAGTATTACGTTTAAAATACCGGTAACGGAAGTGGTCAATTCGAGGCCGGTTTGCAGGTGCAATTTTCGGATGGGCACTGCTTCGGACTTGAGCTTTGGAAGTCATAAGTTTTGACAGTTCTGGAACTTTCGGAATCCCTCTTTTTTTAAGGTGGTGATTGGCACATAATATGACAGTGTTGGTCGCTGTATTGTTACTTAAAGAAACCACTGGAATTGTGGCGGAGGTTCAATTAAAGGCCGGAGTTAGACTTGTGTTGAGTATGTTCATTGGAACCCCAGCAGCAGGGGTAGGTCTACTAGAACGGTGCATATCGGTCGTACTTAAGGCATTATCCTAGGTAACTAGATTTGAGAGGTGATGCCATTCTGGATAGGACTACATTTCCAAAAGCACGCAGACACAGACAGCGCTCGAAATGTCGAGCGGGGCGCCGGATCTGCTCGAGCCCCCAGAGCTCTGCTGCCACCCGGAGAACCTCGTACGGCTGCTCATGCGTCATGGCTAGCGACTCTTACCTTTTGCTGAAGCCAAGACCTCCTGTGTGCTGTGGAACTGCCCGGTAGGGTGGGGTAACGCTGTCGGGTTGACAGACGCACAGATTAAACCAATTTGGCACGGCAGTCTTTTAGTTCCACATACTAATGAGGTCGTACTGATAGTTGCTGTGTCTAAACTACTGTAGAATCTACAATATCACTACCAGTGGCAGCGCTTGGCGACATCGAGGTCGTCTTCTTGCAAGGCTTAGCCCCGTGTTTGCGACCTTTAGCTCCCGATCTGGCGGTGGACGCTTCAATTTCCTGTAAGACCTCATGTGTCAAGAGACGTCCGCCGACGGAAACGCGCTTGCGCTTCTGGCCGCGGCCTTTGCTCGGTGGAGCTGGCATTGTGAGGATCTCGCCTTCGACAAGCGCCTTCATATGCAGCCATGTGGCAAGCAGGACGTAGTGAGGCGCCCCATTTCGTGTGAAATTGTTCAAACGGGCGCCCATCTTAACTAAAGACAAGGGAAACAGTCCACAAGCTTTGAATCTTGCCTTAAACTTTCGATCGATCCGAGCCCCTCGCCAGGCCATGCTACCTACTTGAATCGCATCGTCTTTGCTAATGTTGTAGTATCCGTTCTCGACTTCCTCCACGATCTCCCCAAGCAGAGTTTGTATCTTGCTCTTCAGTGTAGCGAATACGGCTACGTCTAATGGCTGCAGAAGGTGCGTGGTGTTCAGGGGCAGGAAAACCAGCATTACGTTCAGATGCTCTGCTGCGGCAAGCACCTCTTCCGAGTAGGGATATCTGCATCCATCCAAAATCAGCACAAGTGGACGTGCAACGGAATCAGGCACTGCGCTTGCAAAGAACTTCAACCATGGCTCAAAAATGGTGGTATTCATAAAGCCCGAGGCTGAAGTCGTGACCACAGCGTCTTTTGCCTGGCAATTCTCCAGCAGTCCAGTTAAAACGGTCTTTCCAGGCAAAACAAAGCCGGTGGTATTACAAAGCCAGCAGCACTTCCACACGCGACAATTGTGAGGTGAAAATTAGCTGTAGTCCTGTATTCCAAACGTTACTCGATCCACGAACAGCGACTACTTTCTTGCTCTTGAGTTGCTTATGAAAAGCCATTTCGTCCATATTAAAGACCCTCGAGCTGTCCAGTTTCAGCTCAATGATAAGCTTTGCTAGGGGGCTGAAAAGCGTAGTTAGGTCAGCATGAACAACAAAGTTACGCTTGATAGCAAGGGACTGGGCGGATCGCACGGTCAGCGCTGGATAGCGCTTTTAAAGGCCTTGTACCAACCGTGGCCCACACGTTCGCCGCCGCCCAGCAAGCCCACTTCCTGCGCATTTCGTATGATCACGGCGCCTTGGCTGGTGGCTAATGAGCTGTCGTCCTACCACCCAGTCGTATAGATGGTCTTCTGCTACTTTCGGTAAGAGCGTTTTGGGCCCAGGCCATCCGGCTTTTAGTGACTTGCCCTCCGCTAGTGCATGTAGCCACTTTCGAATAGTTCTCTCATGAACGCCAGTAACAGCGGCGATGTCAGCCACTGTACTGCCGGCTTGAACTTGAGCGATTGTTGCTTGTTTAAAGTCCACCGTGTAGGTAGGTGCCATTGAGCTGGTTTGGGAACAAAAACTGCTTAGAGTAACGCTGCTTTCTGGTAGTGATCGCTCTCCCGCCAGCAGTTTGGATTTCGCGCCAAATCTGTATAAATTTCTGTGAGTTTCGTACTTAGTTGTATATCTACAAATGACATGCTGGAAATCGTAATACAGCGTATGCATTGGCTAATATCACACCGGCCTCAAATTGGAAGCTTCCCTTACTGGCGTAATTGTCTTTTCGATTAGCGCTATGTTTGCTTCGGGCATAAGAGATTTTTTTTGGAATAACGCAAGGCTTGGAATAGCGATTATCTGGATAAAATCTGACTAAATGACGGATAGATTATTGATCGATATTCAAATAATTTATTCCAGTGGAATAACGCGGCCCTTCGCTATGCCACTGAAATATATTTCTGAACGAAAAAAATATTATTCTAAAGTCGGAGTTATTCCAGAAACTAAAGTTCTCAATTATTGCTCCAGATGAGCCCTTCGGTAGTAATCCCTGCTCATTGAATATCCTCCAGCAAGAACAAAATATCGCCCTTAATTAAAAAATACCTCTCACCTCTCCCTCGGAATATGAAATAAACGAATAAACTGCTCTGAGGTGCTTAACAATGTCAAAGCTACTACAGTGGTCACGGTAATGAATCGCATTGAAATGATTTTGTGTGGAGTAATTGTTTTATCTCACACAGCAATTGATCTCCGTGAGAGTATTAATGAACTCCCATTAAATAGTGTTTGGTAAAATAAATCTCATTGCTATTATTTTATGTAGCCCTCAAATTAATCTCACATCCACATGTCGGCAAGTTGCTCATGAGTGCTGAGTGCGAGCGGTGAGGTTTAGCAGAAAATTTGAAATTAATTGGCTTCAGAGCTAACCATTAGCAGGACTTACAGTAAGAACAGAGGGTTGGCATGTCACTGGACTGAATTGACTTGAGAAATCATAAGATGCAGATTGCGACGTTTTCGCGATTAGTTAAAAAGATTGAAAACGAAGCTGTACTTCATTCTTGCTTTTGACAGACAAGAAGGAGGCTACATGTACTCCGGTGCCGTCGTTCTCCGTGGATACAACGACCCTATCGAATGCAGCACAGGTGTAACTGTGCTGCTCTGGTTCTCGTTAACCTCTCTAGCAGCGATATCACTGACGTTTGGTTCTGTATGCACAGAAAGCGTGGTTCGTTCGGAGTCGCTGGTGGAGGCGGCCTTTTGGCGCTTGCGGGGCCTGAACGGACGGCTGCGTGGAGAATCTTGTGCGCGGTTGTTCTCTCTGATTAGCCATAATACGGTGGTAAGTTTTAGTTGACCATCTCTACGCTTTCGTTTGCTCAGCTTTAAATTCAATGTTGCGTAGCCTTTGTTGAACAGCTTGATGGCGTGTTACTCGTCGGTGATTGCTAGCATTGGTGCGGAAAATTCTTCTTCAATTCCATTGATGATGTATCGCATCATAACGGACCATTCTGACAGGGTTCCTTTCTTTTTTTGTGAGTCCAGGTCGTTCGTCGGAATATTTTTGTACGGAGGATAGTGGAGCTTTGTGCTACCGACAGCCAGGCTCCCCGAGGGTCGGTACTCGAAAAATTAAAATCTTTGGGCAACACATGAAATTTACCACCCCATGTGTGGTAGTGACGCACAGGACTTGGGAGTGGGGTAGTGTCCGTAATTTCCGCCCCGCGGCGAACCCCAACTTCGTCAAGCAACGCTCTGATTTCCTCACGCAGGTCCCTCGTAATATTGCCAGCCGCTACTCCCTTTTTTTCAAGAACGTGCTTCATTCTCTTTTCAAGCTTCCTAGGGAGGTCGTCAATAGATTGCTGCTGCCGGTCCAGCTTCTTATACAGCTGAATGTACGGCGCAATTCCAGATGGTTGCATCGAGCTCGACTCTCTAATTTCAAGCATGCCTTTAAGCTCGTCAAGAACGCCTAGATTGACGAATCTGTGAGTTGATAGTTGTGGTGTAGTAGAACACACAAATATCGTCAGATGTGGATTGCTTACACAAACCACAACGAATCGCCGAGTTAGGTCGGCGGTTTGTATGGCCTGCGCAGAGGGTGGTTCCCTCGCGGTCCGGCCCTTCCGGGACAGACGAGTGGCTCGCTTCCACCCGGTTCCGACTAGCCAAGTCAGATCACTTCCGAGGCTCCGCCGAGTTTGGTTCGGCTGAGCTCGCTCACAACCCTGTGCCCTCCACCAAAGGATGGACGACGGCGCGCGAGCGCTTTTACAGGTCACCGAGCGCAGAGGCAGCTCAGCTAGAAGTGTTACGGCACCCGGGCTATCCGACGTACCGGCCCGCTGAGTATGCGGGACTTTCTTTCGCGCGTAGCGAGACTTTGTCCTACCCGGACCGACCTAATCTCTTGGCGCTACCAGTCAATACCCTACAAGCTATGCCTCTCGAGTATTGACGGCAGGCATAATCCAGCCCTATGCAGGGACTTACCGGAAAAGTGTACACGTGTCTTGGACTAGGAAAATTCTGCTCTGTTATCTTCTGGGAGCCCTTTCGGCTCCCCCTATTTAATTTTATGCTTCTCATACAAATATCTAATGAAATGTAGTCGTTTCGGATCTCTACCGACCCTTCAGCTGAGCTCCGGCGACCGTTGAGCTCAGCGGCTGTCCGGATAGCATATCCGGACAGATCGCCGAGTACTTACCGTGATCCTTGGCTCCTAAGCTCTGGGTTATCAGACCGAGCCGATTCTTGACCTAAAGTAGGTCGGCGTATGGTCGAATCTGGAAATCCCTACACCACAGTAAGGGGTTATTCAATGGTAAATGTTGTCGCAAATATTCTGCGTGATAAACAAGAGAAGCGAGACTCAGTCGCAATACTCCCGATAAATTTAAATCCGCTGCAAGACCCGGGAACATTATTTGCACATTTGACGTCACAATACTGTTTACACTGCGAAAATGAGGGGGCAATATGCAAAACGTGAGTCATTCACTGGAATACCAGCCACCATACGCCCCAAAAACTGATCTCCGGCGGCTTCGTAGCTAAAGTATCGATCCTGGACCCCGCCAATCGTCCAACCACAGCGAAGACAGACACTAACAATCGATGGACCGCCTGTACTTCCTCCACATGCAAATGTAGCGACACCTTTCCGCACTGAGTGAGTTCCATAAGTTTTAACAGACTCTTCAAGTTTTAGGAGCTGTGTCAAAACTTTACCAAATCGCAGTTTCTGGTTGGAGCCTGGAAACAGAGCTCCGGGTTGAAGACGTGGGTGGCAAGCGAGATAAATTCCCAACGCAGTTACCCAGCATGTTGCTGGACATAATGAGTTTGAATATACGTGACGAAGGTCTCGGGGCCCAGAACCGTCTTGATTTGTCTTGGTCTTGACAAATATGACCCCAACGCTATCGTCCCTTTCCAATAGGTGTTGTGTCTGGATAGTTTGAACAGACATTGATCTACACATCAATTTCCTTTGCGATGTCAAAAACAGGTGAGAGAAGCCGCCATCATTGACCTCAAGAGTCGCTTTGCACAGCGTCTTATACAGAGAATAGGTTAGAGCCTGTTGTCCAGAATTCTTTGGGTTGGTGGTCTGATCATTGTCAGCCTCAATTCGTTTCATGCCGGAAAAAAGCTGCTTTAAGTCATCGCCATATTCCGCAGGTGGTTTGAAGCGTTTCGCGCGATACATGTCTTTAATTGCGCTCCGGTACCCACTTAGTGTCCCAGTCTTCCCAGAGCTGCTCTTGTGCACCAGAAACTTCTCGAAAAGATTTGGTGTGAACTCCAATAAATTAAGCTCGCCTTCGTGATCAAACAATCTGCTGGTGTTACTGTCCTCTTTGGCAAGTTCATTTTGGATCCACTTTTTTATCCCATTGATGCTGCTCCTGTACTTATCTTTTGTTTGGGTAGATACACATGCGTCTCGTATTGCCTCTACGTCACTCCTGGTCGTGGGCCGAGCCCCAGTGCTCCCAAGTTGCGCGATTCCGTCACTCATTCTGACTCCTTCACTTTGATCTGCGCTCAGCCAATAAGGTGGCGTTGCTGTCGTCGGCGATCGACTCCGACGAAATGGGAGAAAGACTGAATGGCAGCCTCTTTGATAATGAAACCAAGTCAAACATCTTATCAGGATTACTTTGTTGCCGTGAAAAAATCAGTCTCTGCCGCCGACGATTTCTCGTAAAAACCTATATATTACTTATCAAAGTGAAGGTGGCAGAGATAATTATTTTTAAAAGAAATGAAGAAGGCTTAGACACAAGTACATGCAATCATATAATTTAGAGCCACAGCGAATATTTACTTTTGTTGGTATTATAAAATAGATACAGTGAAACTTTTCTTAAGAACATGTTTACAGCCGATCAACGAACAATTATTGCAGAACACTCCACAGAACATACATCACCACAGACCTAGCTCTAGAAGGGACAATTGACACCCGATGCACTGCTGCTGCTGCGGGACTTGAACACACGATGCAGCGATTGGCTAGGGCGATCATTAACCACTGCACCATGACAGAACATACTATTTCAGCACACAGCAAATCATTTGACTTGACTTCTGTATACTTTTGACCTTCTGAATGTCGCAATAAGACATAATCGACGATTAGAGGTCACAGCAGAAAAGGGACCAGGCGCGCTTCGCTTGGCTGGGCGCCCCTTCGGCGCCCCCGCGGTTCGCTGCGCTCGCAATACTAAATTGAATGTTCTGGAAAGTGTAGTGCTCGGCTCGCTGGTGAGCTCAGCGCTGGGCCCGTCTCGCACCCGCTCACCTTAGTTGGCGCCGCGGCTATGGCACCCACGTCGCCCAGCCTCGTGTGTGTTATCCCAGCGATGGACGTGTGTTTCTCCTATTTTCTCCTGCACCATAAGCAAGCCCAATAGTGAGTACAAGATATCAACCGCAACTGAGATTAATAATAAACTCTGAAAAAGTTTGTTCACGTGAATTATTCTCAACAAACTTGAGTGAGAATATTTAGTGTATGAGGTTATTTATCAACTTAGATTAATTACCGAGACCACTGTAGTAAACGTCGTCCATGACTACAAATATACGGTAGTCATCGGGGGCATCATATATACTGTGTCTTTCAAGCCCAGGGATCACTACGGAGATTGTCTGTATTAACGTTAATAACTACTAGTTATCCGGATATTTACCGGTACAAAATGGATACAGTAGCTCTCAGCATCGATATCATCTTTTAGAGGAATATTCACATCAAAATCACGCAAATCATTTTGACCATCACTCCAGGTGAGAGACATGGCCTCCGAGTCTCATCCGTCGATATCGGCGCCTCTACCTTTCGTGACGCTCTCGAACGATGGCAGCTTCGAAATTGCACCTGAAGCCATCTCCTACCTGCAGCAGATCCGCGGCGACATTGCCGTCGTGGCTATCGCGGGTCTCTACCGCACGGGCAAGTCGTACCTGCTTAATCTGCTGCTCGGCAGGGACCAAGAGAGCGAGATGTTTGACGTCGGGAACACTGTGAACGCATGTACCAAAGGAATTTGGATTTGGGGCCAACCAGCAGGCAACCAGACCCGTCACCAAGCCTTTAAACACCTTAGCAGAGACACCACAATCCTCTTCATGGACACAGAAGGTCTGGGATCCACTCAACGCTCTCAGACCCAAGACACAAGGATCTTCGCTCTGGCTCTGTTACTGTCCTCCATGTTCATCTACAACAGCCGCGGAGTTATTGATACCAGTGCCATTGAAGATCTGTCACTTGTGGTAAACTTGACCAAGTACATTCAAGCGAAAGCTCATGAGACGGAGACAGAGGAAGGCAGTGAGCTGTCCGTGTTTTTCCCGGACTTTTTGTGGGTTGTGAGGGATTTCACGCTTCAATTGCAAGAGGACGGGAGGAAAGTGACGTCCAAAGATTATTTTGAAAGTGCACTGAAGCAGCAGCCGCCGCTGACAGAGGAAGCCGTGCAAAAGAACAGAATTCGGTCGCTTTTGTCGACGTTCTTCCCGTCCAGAGACTGCGTCACGATGGTGCGTCCGCTAAGTGACGAAGTGCTGCTGAGAGACTTGATCAAACAGCCTTATGACTCATTGAGACCAGAATTTCGGGAGCAGATGGGAGTGCTGAGAAATAAACTGGCGACGTTGTTAAAGCCCAAGACAATGATGTCGAAAGTGCTGAATGGAGCGATGTTGGTATCGTTGGCGGAGAATAACGTCGATGCTTTCAACAGCGGATCTAGTCCCGTGATTGCTTCGGTGTGGGACCGAGTGCTGGAGTCTCAGTGCGATCAAGCTTTGGAGTCAGCTAAACAGGTATTCCAAGCCACGATAGATACCGCAATTGCAGAAAAGATGAGTAAGTATTATGAACTTGACTAATACGACAAGATGGCGACTAAAATTTTAGGTTTCTGTGCAGATCCAGAGACGGTGAACCAAGCGATGCTTGCTCGTCCTCTTGAAGACACTGAGTTGGCTACAATATACGAAAAAGCTCTCGAGGAAGCTGAAAAGGAGCTGCTACAAGAAGAAATCACATCGTATTCGTCCATTGAGACCTACTTACTGCAGCTTTCGGAGTATGGTCTTGATATTCTGCAGAGCAAGTATGTGGACAATGACGCAGTATCAACCGCGTACAACAAACAGTTACTCCAGGAGCTGTACGGCTCCAAGAAGAAATCTCTAGACGACTCGGCAACAAACTCAGGAGATGGTACTCAGTACTTACAAGACCACTTGGCTTCTTCCCGAGACTTGCTGGATGACATTGTGACTCAATATAATTCGCGAGCACTTGGACCCTGTAAGAGCGCGGTCCTGAACGACTTTCTGGTCGAAAAGATGGTGGAGGGTATCTTCGAGTGGGGATCCAAGGTCAAAACAGTGTTTCGATCTAACGAGTCGACGCTGGTGAGTGACATCGCGTCGAGGAAACAGAGCTTGCGATCCTTTGAGGCGAAAGTTCGTGTAGCACAAGAGATGCTGACGCAACAGAAAGAATCCTATGAAAAGGCTCTGCAGGCGATCGCCGAGCGTATAACAAGTGAACGAGGCACCCTCCGCGATGAAATTGAGACCAAACTGGCGGAAATTGAGCGAACTCGCCTGCAAGCTGAGCGGTTGGGAGCACTCCATCAAGAGGCTTTAGACCGCTTAGACAAGCAGATCGAGGAAGCCAAGGACGAACGAAAGCGACTGGAGGCTACTGTGCATGAAGCTGAAGCTCGTCGAGAGAGCGAACGACAAGAGGCGCAAAAGCAAATGCTAGAGAACGAGCAAAGCTTTCACAACGAAGAGAAAAATTTACTGCAAGGGCAGCAGCAGTTTCTCCAAAAGGTCCTTGAGCTGGAACGACAACTTGGCGAACAAGATACCGAGCACATGGCAGAGCTGTATCGTATTGAGAAGGAAAACCAAGATGAGATCTTGGAGTTGTCATTTCAGCATCAAGATGAACAGGAAGAGCTGAAGGAGAGTGCCATTTGGGTAGGCGTTAAGGAAAACTATGAAGTAGTACATTTTTATACTAATTTGTTTTTTTCGTATTTAGGATATTCGAACGCTGAAAACACAACAAGAAGAGGAAATTGGTGCACTCCAAAGCGAACTAGACGAGAAAAAGGCTCGTGTAGCTTTGCTTCGTGAACAACTTGAACAGAAGGAGGCGGAGGCAGCTAGGAAAAAAGCTAAAGCTAACCAACTTTTCAGTGGAGAGGAATGCCTCGTCCAATAGCTAAGTTACACTCAACAAAGTTGAACACATCTTCCTCCGATAACTTCGAACACCTAGATCCAACTCGTATATAGAAATACTTCGAAACTGGCAAAAGGAGTCTGGTACAAGTAGTTTTCATGTCGTATACTTCGAAGTACAAGCATGTTTTGAATTTCATCTTTATTCCCAAAATGGAAGCACCTGGTGGTATTCTTCAACTTCAATTTTATCATAAATACTCAGCTCTCAGCCTTGCAGCAAGCGAGCGACTTGTTCCTGATAGCTTGCTTCCGCTTCCTCCAGACGGCGACGCTTCTGCAGCTTTAGCACCGCAATCTGTCTTTCCAGCCTTGAAGCATCATCTGGTTCTGAGTCATGAGACGACGTGCTCCCTTCTGATTTTGCTCTGCGCTCCCTACGCGGTGGCTCTTTCATTGGCGACAAATTTCCTTCAGGGAGACCTTGGGACTGTCTCTTGTTCTCCCACTTCGACGCTTCACCCCCCTGAATCGTATCGACCTGCTTCGCCAAAGTCTCCAACCGCTTCAGCAGATCAAGATGCAGAGCTTCGATCTCAACGCTGGCATCTCGTTCAAAATGGCTACTCGGGTCCCACCGCAAGTAGTAATGCGTCCAGAATTTAAGCGACTTCATCGCGCAAGACGGAACGATCACGTCTTCACACGGCGCGAGGGCTCCATAGCGACCAACCTCGTCTTCCTCGGATACAGCATCCGCCTCTGAAGCATTCCATAGACCATCCGACAACGGCGCACGCTCCACAGGCATGAAGAGTGATGTTAACGACGTTCTCGACTTCGGAGTTGAAAGTCTTGCTGCAGCGTCATCCTCTGCATATCGACGAGAGAAGAAAGACCGAGAGCGCGGTGCAACAGCCGGCGAGGACGGAAAATTGGAGAAGATCGACGTCTCCAACGCCTGAGGGAACGAGAAACCTGTATCGAGATCGCGTACCAGTCTATGGTAGCAGGATGGCTGCAGAATCATCATATTCTCCTCGCTCTCACCATCCCAGCTATCAAACTCGTCACCAACCAATGAGTCGCTACTGTCGATACGTCGACGTTGCCTTTCACGCGTAAGTTGATCGTGGGTGGACTGTAAGGCAGCCTTCACTTCTACATCAGTCGCATCAGCTCTGGATTTTGATGGCGATGAAGCCACAGCGACTGTGCTCCCACAGACCATTGAAGAAGAACTGGAACAAGCCGACGATCCATCCGACGCGTCAAAAGCATTCCTGCCATAGTCTAGATAATCCTCCGCTAACGAGTGAACTTCACAATCTTCCTGGGTCATGTGAGGAACCAAGCGAGGCGATTCCTCGTACGACTGACCTATTGACCTCTCAAAGCACTGTCGCGTGGCGGTGACGTTCGTCTTCCACTTCGTCCGCGGAGCGTTCTGTGGCTGGTAAAAAGGGTTTATAACGACTGCTCGATCGACCGTGCTGAGATACGACCACAATGACTGCGTTGGATGGAGCGATTCCTGCTCCATACGTTCTCGTTGCGAGTTGTACAGGAACGTACCAAACCGACACGAGTACAGATGATCGAGGATCAAGATCAGGTACCTTTCGTTGAACTCGAAAGCGCTGGGAAACTGAGCCATAACTTGCCACACGCAGTCGATCCACTGTAGGAAAACCGGAGAGGTCTCGTTAATGTTATTGCTGGCTCCGTGTGACGTTCTATCTCGAAATTTGTGACCAAAAGAGCACCATTCTTTCTCGATTAGTCGTTCGAAGCCGACTATAGTTCGATAATAAGGATCAATCATCAGTTCGGCCAACGCTGTGAGTTGAGCGGTTCGGTCCCACCCGTCACTGCAGTGAATCAGAACGCTGGACTTCTGTTCCTTCACGATACGCACAATCTCCACAGCTGAGTCCAAGATACGAGAGATGTGGTCCAGCCAGCGGGTAGACGCTAATTGATCCAGCCACCTGTCGTTATTCTGCTTTGTAGTGCACAAATCCATGAGCTTGTGGTAGCTTTTACGCATCGTATGGATGTTTTCAATGCCCATAAAAATCAGCTTGCATTCCGTCAAAACCAAAGCCGACTCCATCGTTTCCAGAAACTGTCGGGGCCCCCCGTCGTCGTCCCAGCCATTGCCTGTACTAGCCTCATTCACACGCGGTACTTCTCCGTTGATAGAGGCTCCAGACACAGCAGCAGCTGCTGCGTTGTGCTCTGACGCAACCATATCCGCATACTTCATCGAGGCTGTAGCATGCCGAGTCTCATAGTGTTCTGTCAGCTCGTATCCAGCGCGACCCACAGTTTTCTGTGCTACAGCGTTCTTCCAGGGTCTCGCATCGATGATTACTAGCTTGGTTGAGGAAGGGTTTGTCGCTGCAATCGCCTGAATGAGGAACACATCCTTGTCACATTGTTTTTGCCCCAGTCCTACAAGAGGCTGGCTACTGCGACAGATAACAGCTCCTGTATGCCGGTCACGCCACGAGAGAACCGGAATTCGTCCTTTGGAGCGGAATTTGGATGCCACCGCTAGTACACTATTAGACACCGAGGCTGGTACTGCCAGAATTGACGGGTATGTTGGACACAGTTCGTACTGCTCGTTGACGTAACTTAATCGCCATCGGCTTGTGGAAGACGAGATACCCAGTCGCCGAAACTCAGCCACCGCGTCATAGATCCTCCAGCCGTCTACTGCTCCATTAACACCATCAAATCTTTCTATCGAGAACTTGGCAAACTCGTCCACTTTTCCCTCCGGTTCTCCTAGTGCGTGTGTCCGTACGAGTGCAAATGTGCGATCAAATTGACTAAAAGTCTGCTTGGACACTAACCCTTCAAATATGAACTGCACACGACGGAAATCCTTGCCGACCACTTCTAATAACCCACTGTCGGTCTCGACCATTTCTTTCCGCTTCACACGTTCGATGGTCACCATCGGAATGGCTTGATAAGCCACTAACGACTCCGTCTGTAGATCGCTGGCGTACGGAAGTTCATCCTCACGCACGTTATTCCTCACAGTGGCGCCTTTCAACGAGAATCGCCCCATAACAGCTTCACTGTCGACTGTGGGACTAAATACAAGACGATAATTCGTCACGTACAACCTGCCTGTGTGCTCTATGCGCTCTAAGAATCTCACACGCACATTGTCATTTCTCACCAAAACTGCTTCACCCGGCAGTATTTGTAGATATCCGTCGTTCTGTCCACTTGCATAATCCGCATCTTCACTGCCATTTCTCTCGTAGCTGTCACTCGAAACTCCTCTCGTAAACACAGGAGACATGGGCATCTGTCGTCGTCCATTAGACGTGATAATATCTCCTTCCATCGCTCCAAAATCCACAGACCCTCTATGTTGTGATGGTCGATAAGATTCAGCAGAGTCTCTCCTTGTTTTGTCTGCGAGTTGTGACTTTGACGCCCATCTCGCACTATCAGAAAGCTGAAATCCTCCTCTACCTGATCCTTCTCCAGTATCGCTATGACGTCTGAGAGGTTGGTAAGTGCGGGCCTTGTGTCGTTCCTGCACCATCTTGGCATGCGCTTTCTTCGCTGCTACCGAGCACTTGGCACACACGCGGACAGGTGTGACGAACCCTGAATTAACCAGCGGCATCCGGGCCGACGAGCACGCGTCACAGAAGACGTTGCCGCAGCGTCGACAGTGGTGACGTCGCAGCATGAGCGAGAACGAGGCCTGACAGCTGTAGCATTTCTCGGCCAGACTGTCGGGCACCCAGGCAACAACGTGGCGGCGGCGGTGGCCAGGCGCAGACTTGGGCTGAGGATGAGGCTTGGGCTGCGTAAGCTGCAAGGGTGGAGGGTGCATCTGGGTGGTACTGGATATGAGGACTGGGGACACTTGCAGTGTGGGTGGGTCTCGTCGGGCGGGCAGCATAGCGAAGAGGATAGTTAGTGCATGGAGAAGGTTGGGTTGCGTATTAAATTGAGAAAGGTGATATTTCATTAGTTTGTAGGATTTGATTCAGTGATAATATCGAATATCGAAGATGACAGGAATTTTATTTTGACAACGTCAGTGATGGAAATGCCCGCACTGGGCTACGCAACCTCGTCCCATTTCCGCCTTCTTCTCGGGGACACGACACCGTTTTCTTCTGGTACAACTGCTATATCTTGTCGTGTTCTCTCTTGACTTTCCGCTCACGTACGAATCTCTTTTTAGATCGCCGCGTAGCGTCCACAAATCTACTTTAACCATCATGAGCGACGACGTGTCGAATCTTGAGGACATCCTCGTGGACGAGGAGTACTTAAACAATGCTAATAACAGCGAACTGGCGCGCGATCGACCTTTAAGGCCTGCTCCGCCGTCTTCTTTAAGTCCACACGAGTCCAGGCGTGCCAGTATCGACGCATACGACGCGCGAGAAGACCATTTCGGACGCGATAACGAAGAAAACGAAGAGGACGATGGACAGGACGTTCCGCAAGATAGCGAAGATGTTCGAGAGGACTCCGTACCATGCGAGGAAGACGACGAGGACGCTCCGCCACAGCTACGCTCTCGTAACAGATTAGGTGAGGCCAGGACGCCCTCCGAACTCCACGCAGCTTCACGGTCTCCGCCGCGGTCCATGTCGCTTGGAGGATTTACAGTTGACGATGAGGATGTAATGGAGATGAATGCGCGAGAGCAGGAACTGCTTGTGAACATCCAGGAGCTACAGCGTCAGCTGTCGATGGTACAGATCCAGACCGACAAACCCCAAGAGGAGATCGTTCCGCCCATGATGGATGCCAGACACAGGTTAATTATGGTGTCGAATCGTCTCCCAATTTCGTTCCAACGCAATGAAAATACAGGGGAATGGAGCTTCACCATGAGCTCAGGGGGATTAGTGACGGCGTTAAACGGTATTCGAGATCAAGTGCCGTTTATATGGATCGGCTGGCTGGGGGAGGAGATTCCGCATGATGAGCAGAGCAAAGTGAGGGAAAAGCTGGCTCGAGAATTCAACTGCGTGCCTGTGTTCTTGTCCAAGGAGATCGCTGCGAGGTACTACAACGATTTTAGCAACGATATCTTGTGGCCAATCTTTCACTATGTGCCACTACCGCTTTTTCGTCCTGGGAGTGAGAAGAAATTTGATTTCAGACAATGGGATGCGTACAAACTGGCCAACAAACGCTTCGCACAGGCTGTGAATCAAGTTTATCGAGAGGGAGACTTTGTGTGGGTGCACGACTATCATTTAATGATGCTGCCGTCACTGCTACGAGCCCGCCATCCACAGTGCAAGGTCGGCTGGTTCCTTCATACTCCATTCCCCACTGCGGAGATGTATCGTATGTTGCCAGTGGGGAGAGAGATTTTGGAGGGTTTACTTGGTGCTGACCTTCTAGGATTTCACACGTACGACTACGCTCGCCATTTCATTGCGGCTTGTGCTCGTGTGCCTGGTGCTTCCACATCTCCTAAGGGCGTCGAACTTGGCGATCATTTTTCAGCTATTGGCGTGTTTCCTATCGGTATTGATCCCGAACATTTTGAAGATATCCTGAACTCGGAAGCCACACAGAAACGTATTCAGGAACTCACTATGAAATTTGCTGGCTGTAAGATTATCATTGGCGTTGACCGCATGGACTACATCAAGGGGATTCCGCACAAGTTGCTAGCGATGGAGCGCTTTCTTTCTCTATATCCCGAACGATGCAAAGATGTGGTTCTCATCCAGATCGGTGTACCATCACGTACTGGTGTGCAGGAATATCAACATCTTGCTGCAAGTGTGAATGAAATGGTGGGGCGGATCAACGGTCGCTTTGGAACACTAACGCACTCTCCTGTGCATTATATCCATCGCTCCGTGACCCCCAGTGAGCTCGTAGCACTGTACAACTTGGCTGATGTCTGTCTGGTGACGTCTATTCGCGACGGTATGAACCTTGTGAGTCACGAGTATGTCATGTGTCAGAGTCAATCGTGTGAGCCACATCGCGAAGGACCAGGAGTTCTCATTTTGAGCGAGTTTGCTGGCAGCGCACAGTCGCTATCGGGCGCTATCCGTGTGAATCCGTGGAATACAACTGACATGGCGAATGCACTTAGCTATGCACTGGAGCTCCCGCTAATGGAGCGTGAGTATCGGCAAAGAAACCTTTACCGTTACGTGAAGACACACACTGCGAGTTTCTGGGGCAAAAGTTTCTTAACCGATTTGGAGGATGCAGTGTCGAGACCAAGAGCTGTAGTGAAAAAGCTAGTGAGACTACCGACCATCGAAGTGCTCGGTGCTTACACACGAAGCTGCCACAGGCTGTTGGTGCTTGACTACGAAGGAACTTTGTTCGATGACCTGACGGCTGGACCATCACAGCAACGTGGCAGCGTGGCCCCGCCCAAACCGTTTGTCAAGCGTCTTATTGACGCTCTCGCCAATGATCCAAAGAATACAGTGGTGCTGGTTAGCTCTCATGAACGAAATGTGATCGGAAGTTGGCTTACGGATCGTCGAGTGGGAGTCGTGGCAGAGTCAGGGTACTTCTACCGGTTACCTAATGAAGATGAATGGCAAGTTATGACGGAAGACACTGATCCATCGTGGAAGAAAGTGGTGCGTCCAATCATGCAGTATTTCACGGAACGTACGCCTGGGAGTCGAATTGAAAGCAAGGAGAGCTCACTTGCCTGGCATTATGGCGAGACAGATCCAATTTTTGGTCCGATGCAGGCGCGCGATATGCAGGTGAACCTGGAAGATGTACTGTGCAATCTGCCGCTTGAGGTGGTTCAAGGTACCAATCGCGTGGAAGTTCGCTTGCAGGGAGTGACGAAGACGTTGCTGCTTGATGAGATTTTTAAGCAGTTCCAACTGGATAGCGTACCTAGTTCACCTTCGTGTAGGCGTGAGGGTCTGTCACCGAGACAGAGTCGTCGACGGCGGCCACCTTCACCTCAGCTTGACTTTGTCTTCTATGCTGGCAATGGCGTGGAGGACGATGAGTTGTTCTTGTATTTCAAGGAGCACACGGAATTGGCCAGGAAAGAAGAGGAAACGTGTCAACCAGGTACTGCACCAACGAATGCAGGCAGTGATGTGCTCCCGCCTCTATCATTGCCAGACGCGAGTAACCTTCCAGCAGACTCAGTCTCTGCGCTGTCGAAGCGTGCCGATGTGTTCACGTGTCATATTGGTGGCACCAAGACAGAGGTATGCATCTTTGAATTTCTTCAGGATACAATCTGATCAACGCTTGCTTTCGTGTGCTTAGGCCATGTTCCACCTGGAGCGTCCTTCGGATCTCGCAAGAATGCTTCGAAGTATGACGTGAAAACTTGACCTTTGCAAGGACATGGAACTAAAAATTGGTACTATCTGTTGGTTTGTGCAATATTGCAGCGCTCGCAGTTCACAGTCGTGACGAAGGAACGCCGAGAGTTCCCGTTGATCGAAGGGCATCCATTGAGCCGCGTGCAGCGCCAAACAGCTCTACATTTCACGCCTCAGCGTCAATGCCGTCGCTTCTGACGTTCGGCAAATGAAGTTCGATCTTCGCTCTCTTCCACGTTGTCTCACACGCACGACACTCGGATAATGAGGTACTACGATTAATTATGAAAGATTGGTTAGTGGAATAGCAACGTAAATGTGAATGCACTCCTTGGTTTACACTCTTTAGGCGCCACACTGGACGTCGGAGCCCTTGTCCGAGCAACTTCCGCCCTTCTCCAGGTACTTCTGATGAGCTTCCTCGGCGTCCCAGAACTCTTTGGCCTCCTCGATTTCCGTAACAATTGGCTTGATCAGTGTCTTTTGGTGCTCCTCCTTGGACGTCAGCGCGATCTTGTGCTGCTCCTCATTCTGGTAATAGATGCCCGAGCGATACTGCGTACCAACGTCGTCTTCCTGGCGGTTGAGTGACGTGGGATCGTGAATGGCCCAGAAAACCTTGAGCAGGTCACCTTGCTCTCATCGAACGCGATCTTGATGGCCTCAGCATGGTTCGTACGGCCGGTAACCACCGTGCGGTATGTCGGGTTGTTGGTGTTTCCCTGTCAGTAGCCCACGGACGTCTCAATGACGCCCGGTACTCGGTCGAATGCGCGTTGTACTGCCCAGAAGCAGCCAGCCGCGAACGTGGCGATGCTGTACGTGGAGATCTCGGTCATGGATGGTTGTCTCTTGAAGCGCGCAGGAAATACAAGAATGAGGCAGCGGACGAAGGTGGCGTCGACGTTGTGATCAGCAAACAACCTTGACGCCCAATGAGAATTGTGCAGTTTGCCTACGTCGTAGGCTCTAACTGCGTGATTGGTGTTTAAGATCGCACTGGAGCTGGTGGATGGATCTCCACGCCTTCGACTGGAGAATCGCTAGTCAAATATCTGATAGTAGGAGTACATGTAACAGTAGTTTACCACTTAGAGAATTATTAACTATGTAGACTTCAAATAACATTTAAACAAGACCAGTGTTAGAGTCACACAATAAGAGTGTGACTTCGTACTTAAGCGCATATTAGTGACACAGACACGGCACTCCGTCTGTGTGTGGCGAATACTAGCGTCACAAAGCCACAAAAGGGCACACTATCAAAATAAATTACCCGATATATTTCAAAAATTTCAGCCCGTGCCGCGTGCTTGCGCATACCGAAATGTGCTGCGAATGTTGTGCTAATGGTCGTGTTGCACGACTGTACGCAAGACTTCGCGCAGTCAGATTTCTGTCGCAGTGAGAGGCGACGCGGGCGCTGCGGACGCGCGAGGAATGACGGGTGAAGACGATGGAAACAAGCGTCCGAGATGCAAGTAGCACGGGGAGGGGACGTCCTCGTCACGACGTGAATTGCTTTGCATGGAGGCTGTGCCGCCGTGCTGAAGGTCTCGAACAAGCTATCCAGCGTTGGACATGTGACCAAGTGCCCGAGAGCCATGCAATGTGGGCATCACCCAGTCGTACGGCGCTGTCAAGACCACCGCAGAGTCGACGTAAGAGCATGTTTATGGGCATGGCCGCGCAGCTCGTGCCTTGTCAACAGTACCAACAACGCGGTTCTAGGTCGGACACGGAGATTTGTAGCGGTTGCTGATGGACTCATGAAAGCAGATACATGGTGGAGAAGTGCTTACGCTATCCCATGCAGCACGGCATGCTGCATGGTCATGAAGAGAATCGAAAAACGGGCGCGCGAGCTCGCGAACACGCATGCAAGACGAAAGCATTTATGGTTCTTAAAGGAGACGACGTGCCGGCCGCCTCAGTCCTAGTTATGCAGACATATTCGTGGCTACTTATAAGATGCAGCTTCACATAAGGTTGATTCAATATCTCGTTTGAAAGGCACATACACGTTCTTGAACGCTAGTTGAACCTAGGCGAAAAGCGACTTCATCAGAAAACGCAATCTGATGTAGCGCAAGAGGATCTTCGGTAATGTTGTCGGCAGCGTTAAATTACGCACAGCGCACTCGAAAAACAGTAGAACTAGCGGACCGCAGTTGGTGATGTCTTTTTGTTTCATGCGGTGCTCACGTCTTGATATCATTGCCTCCGTCGTGTCGGAATACAGATCCTTGACAATATTTTCACACTCGACATATTGATCCTCCTTTTGCATCGGGTCGAAGAAGGTAAGCGTCTGTGATTTAATGTCAAAAACTACTCCACACCAATGATTGTTGTTGAGATGGATAGGGAGTAGTACATACTCGTTGCTTGCGTATAATAGCTGAGTTGCGGCAATTATCGTGTACTGTGACTCCACGTTAACCGTTCCACAGAATGCGGGTGAAATTATTCCTGTTGTGCCATGCTCTTCTTGAATTGTTGTCATTGCATGCAGCAGACAGTCATCATTTATCCATTTGCTCCGACTCCGGTACTTCTTCATCTTTCAAAATTTGTTTCCCTTCCACGATGTAGTACAAATACTTTCGACCAATTTCATACTCGCCTTCCGTTTGCGCACTTAGCATCATATGAACAGCATCTTCGATCTTTTCACGATCAAGAAGTCCGTACACACGCTTTGCCATCTCGGTCCGTAAATACTTAACAACGTGGAATACACAAAGGAGAATTCGCGCAGCCGGAAAAGCAGATTGCAGTAACGAAATTTCTCCGAAGTCCTTATCGACGATGATTACACGGACGTCATCCCACGTCGCGTTAAATGACTTGAAAGATGTGATCGCATCGAAAAGACACTCTGCACTCTCGTTCTCCATAAGGGCATGCTGCACGTATTGGCCCTGTGTGCCACAAGTCACACAAAAACCACAAAGTCACAAAATGCCACATCGCCACACTAAAACCACAAAATGCCACAACGCGACCACGTAAATCACAAAGCACCACAATGCCGCAGTAAATCGCCACAAAAGTCACACATTTGTCAACAAGCCACAATAGTTACAAGTAGTCACCGTGCAAACAAACACAACGAACAACATTAGACGGTCAGACACGTGAAAGATAGATGAAGCGCTCTTACATGGCCAAAAACGTCGTGAATCATGAAACTGAAAAGCTTGTATCTGGCGTCGTTAGTGTTGTGAGTCGCGTCGATCATCAAAACCTCAGGAAAAGCTTCGAAAAAGCGCCGCATTTGATGGGTCTGAAAAGTAATTACTTGAGCCAACTTGTCATCATCCACGTAGATGGTAGCCGTGTTTCCTTTTCGCAAGCAGAAGTCTCTAAGGCTGGACTCTAACCTTGCTTCAACAGTAGTAGATCCTCGGCGTTGTTCCTTAAGCTTCTTGCAGCGGGGCTGCCGTAGCTTTAGCGTCAGAGGAAGACGTTCGACTCAAAGAGTCACTAATACTAAGTTCCTTATCCAAAGGAACTTACAGCCCAAGACCAGGGCTCAAAGTTAATACCTTAACTTTTATGCTTCAAAACCAGAAGTGTTTTATTTACTATTATTGCGGCCAAGCCGCCTAGGGGTAAATGTATCTCCTTAACTATCTAGCATAGTTAAACCTAATCAAATGCATAATGTGTGGCTTTCAGCCAACGTACTGAGAGACCTTGTTAACTCTCCAACTTATGTACTGAGAGTTTGTTAACTCTCCGGGTACTTCGTACCCCTGTGTGCTCCACACCATGTAACCCCGTTACACTCTCCCCCACTAAGATGAGAACATTCCGTTCTCGAACTTTCCTCAGCGAGGTCACGTCTTGTCAAGACGACGGAGGTCACTAGACCTCACCTGTGCGTTCTGCAGCTCCACGAGCTCACAAACGCGTTCGCATCCTTGATGCCTGGCACTCCCACTCCGGCCCACGGCCCAACGTCTCCAGCGCGTCGCGCCGCCCCTGCCTCGTCGGTCCCAGACCCCCAACTGCGCTCCGCAACTGCTCCAAGAGCAACTTCGTCTCTTTCGGTGGCGGAGTACCACCAAGAGTATCGCCGTCGACACGGTCAACGCTCCATGAGCCGTCAACAAGAAGAGAGCAAAGCTCAAAGCTCGTCAGAGCCGCGGGCGCCGCCCAGAGGGAACGATGGTCTGTTCTCGGAACTCGAAGAGGGCGAAGTCGATTACGACGAGCCCATGGGTAGTGAGGATCACTCCAACCCAACCTCTCCGAGGTCGCACGCTGGTGCCGCGTCTTCCCCAGCTTCCTCTGTGAGGTCTAGCCGCTCAACGGCGCGATCTCCAACAAGAAGAGACCTGCGGACACCGCATCCGTTCTCTGAACGTTCGAATCCGTTTCGCTCGCTGCGCGATGCGCCACCGCTATCGTCGCGGTATGACGAGGAAGATCGATACGATCACAACGTCATTACGAATGACCTGGACGAGGCCCAAGGCCGTCAGTTGTCCAATGAGCAGCGCTCGCAGTCGTTCCGACCTGTGGTCCGACCACTTGTTCTAACGTCACGCCGTGACTACGGCTTCCAGCCGCGGAACCCTGCCGAAGCGGCCCGCCTCGCGGCGCAGCAGCCGCTGAACACGTACACGTGTGGGCCTGCGGCCTCGACTGCTGATGAGCAAGTGCAACGGCACCGGATCCGAGAGCGATATCTGACTCCACAAGTCACAACTCCTCAGGAGTATCAGGCGCGCCTGCAGATGCAGCTAAACCGCCAACCGGTTCCCTCTATGCGAACCATCCCGGTTGTTCTCAACCCTGGGGAATCCCAGCGTGCTTATGAAGCACAATTCCGAAGCTGGGTGGAGGGAGCTCGACGGCTCCCCTCCTACAATGCTCTTCGAGCAAGTTTCTCTGAAACTGATATTCGTCTTGAGAGACGTTTGCGCTTAGACTTCGCTAAGTCGAAAGCACGTCGACGAACACTGGGACCCCGTCCCCATCACCTCGAGGCGTCACCACCTCTTGCTCATGCTGCGAGCACCGCTCTTTCCTATGAGCCGGCTGCTCCAGCCACTGGTCGGAGCTTGAGCTCAGCCACCGACCTGTCATCCCCGCGTTCTAGCGGCGGGAAGCGCTCGGCGCCTGACGACGCGGTCGTACGCCGTAGCGGCGGGGCAGTGAGTGTGCCCGATCAAAAGCGTCGACGACGTCAGGGCAGTCCTGCCGGAGGACAACCTCAAACTCCCAAGAGTTTTGTGAGTGAGGATAACCCCTCCATTTCACAAGGTACTGAGTACGACCCTGGCGCCTGCGCCTCGCCACCAGGCGTTCCACATGGAAGTGGAGCTCGCCGTGCTCGTCGAGCAGAGCAGGAGGAGGCCGAGCCTCAGCTGGACTCTCGCGTCGCGAGTCGCAGCGACGTGTTCGCGCTGGAGCAACGTGTGGGTTCCCTGAACCAGTATCTCCATGATACGACTGACTCTCTGAGTCGCCTTGCAGATGGTCTCGATGAGACGAACCACCGCGTGGACTGGTTTGAACAACCACAGTCGGTTCAGAACCGAGTCGTGGACCTTGAGCGTCAAGTCGCTCAGCTGCAAGGTCAGATCGACTTGCTGTTGCGTCTTGTGGCCCCGCCACCTGCTGTCGCTCAGCCTGCCGTGGTTCGGCCTCCCGCTGTTGCGCAGCCTGTCGTGGCCCAGCCACCGTTGGCGCCAACGCCTCCGCGCTCACCTGAGCAGGGTCCTGATACGGCTTGAGTAAGCCAACGTAGAAGACTGGATGCGTGCGCATCTTCTTCGGAAGGTTAAGCGTATACGCTAGGCCCTTCTTGGCCACGACCTTGAAC